AATGGAAAAAGGCATCTAAAAGATGCCTTTTTAAAAATGTATATGATTTTACATTATTGAGGATCAGAAGCTCGTTGCCAGTGTATTAAGACAACTGTTGTGTGTTACATCTTATAAAAGGTTAGTAGTGTTAAAAAATTTCACTATTTCAGAAGTATTTTGTTATCCAATCAACTAATTTCCTTGAGTTAATTTTGGGTTTAATATCTCAATCAATCCTTCTGTTTAGAGAGTACTTATAGCATCAATGTGCACCATCGTAGTACATATATTGATGTTGTTAACAATTAGAAAGTAGAATTTGGTACAACTGAATTTGGACAAACCGGGAAACGCTTTGCATTTCTAGTACTACAGTTGGGTTCGTTCTCGACTCACAATCGAAAATTCCGGGTTCGAATCCAGAAATGGGACAGAAATGGTTTGGCAAGTATCCTATCACCAAATACACCTGTTCACCTAGGTCTGTAGTATGTCTCTGGGATTTGGGGGGAGGGTATATAGGCGTGGATACACTTGTGTGTGTATTTGAACGCCTTTCATGAGCATTAAAAACCACATGATTTGTATTAATTAGGTAAAGTTCTTCGTTTCAATATTAGTTTTTTGAATACAGGGCAAGTTACAGGGCTGTAACTTGTAAATTGGCAAGGTTTTCGTCTACTATTACTACAATTGCTACTACTGTGGCTGCTACAGCAACTAGACTACTACAACAACTATTACTATGTTTGAAATCTTGAATGTAGGAACGTAAATTGTAAAGATGGAGGAAATACCTTTATATACTCTGAAGCCTCGGTACAGTGTATCCAAACATGTGTGTCGAGCGCTTCCGGAACAATTAATGTTTCACATCAGTTTAATGGTCACAGCGTGACGGTAGATATACACGAAGGTACAGTGATGAAGTTGTATTATACTATTCAATAAGGGTAATGCAACAGGAGGAATATCTCCACTGAAAGAAGCACCTCACTTTTAGTTTAGTTCTGAGCTATGTTCGTTACCCATTTCGAGAGGAGATTCGAACATACGAAGTGAGCAAGGTACTGTTCAAGAAAAATTCGAACGCTATTAGTTGTGTGTAACTGGCTACAATTAAGTGTTTTTTCTGTCATAATCAGGCAGGGAGGGGGCATGGGGGGGGGTGGATTAACGAGCATTTGGCCATTGTTAATGAGGGTAAGATGAATTGCTTGTTTAAATTACGCGGGTGAAGCAGTCAGAGAGGCGCGCTTCGAACACAGGAAGTGAGTCAAGCATTTGACAAATGTGTTTGCTGGGCTGTGATGAACCTCCACTTGTAGCTCTCATTAAGAAAGACCAAAATGCTCGTTAGCGAGATCAACGTGAATTAACGAGCATTTGGCCTTTGTTAATGAGGTCGGGTTGGCACTTGGCTTCGAGTGGGTTCATCAGCGGGGGGCTTCGAACCTCGAAAGGGAACTCTGTCGACTCTTTACTTCCGCGGGTCACTGATGATTACTGATGGTTGTTCTGTGGTCTGAGTGACGGACACAGGTTACCAGAGACGAGCGTAGTTTAACTACTCGTTCCTTCTCTAGTAAGGACCTATAAAAGTGCACTTTGTTTATGTGAGGATTAAACGAGCCATCAGGACAGGATAAGCTGCTTGTTCTGTACGTGGGTGTTGTCGTAGGCAGTGTTGGGTCAAGCACGCGCCCTCGTCTGACACCTGTAATCTAGGTACCTCAGCGCCCTCTTCGAGTGGCAAGGTAAGCAACTACTCGATCATCAAGTGTCACCTTCACCCAAGCTGTTTATAAATATATGGATTAAAATATGATTTATCAGGTGGTGACTTTTATATGATATATGAGGATTGAAATGTGTCAATTTAATTAATTAATTAATTAATGCCCATAAGTAATTCGCTTTCTTTCCATTACAGGTAAGGGCCGGTTGATCATCGAGGGACTCAAATCCACCAATTTTTGAGGTATGTTCCTATTTCTGTATGGTTTTCATCGCTATGTTTTAAAGATACAACAAACCCCAGGGAGAGAGGGACTTGCTGGCGTGCTAAACGTGCTTCTGTGGAGTCTTGTGTATGAGGTGGATGGACGCTCTATGATAACAGCCCTAGGGACGCGGTAGTTCAATAGACACGTTGTGATTCTGGGTCATAAGTATTAAAATGAATACCAGTTGCTGCCGTATTGTGATATCTGGTAAATATTCAAAGTTGTGAAAGGCGTCAATCAGTTGAATAATATTCATTTTAGATAAAAAGAAAAAATGCCCATGTAAAAGGCTATTTCATTTTTTTTGTTCATATGTCTTTCTAGCGTCAAAGTCGCGTTGTTATGCTTAGAAACTTGTATTAGTATCGAAATCTCCAGCTTCTATAAACAAGTCTTTCTAAGCCTTTTGTAAGTCATATAATACTAATTTGTTTTACGGTTTGCTATTATAAGCCTCATATAGGTAACTACTTGTAAGTTACAAGTTTATTTACGACTATTCAGCTCTTCACTCCAGACACAAATGTTATAAATTTGAATAAATTATTTTATAATTTGTACATTATTTGAATAAATAATGTACAAACAAAGTTTCTAATTCTAAATGTAAATTATCTTTTCCCATGTCAAAATATGTCTTAAAAATCCAAATTTTCTAGGATTTTGCGCAATGCGGCTGGAATTACTCCGTCAGGCTTTTCAGTCTTTATATTGCACGAGTTTAAGGTAGATTACGAAAAACATTTGTGATCAAGTTGGGTGGAAATAAATCATTAGCAATGCTTATTTATTACGTGGAAATTTAAGAGGCTATTTAACTCTTCGTAATATAGAATCATTCACAATGGACCTGAGGAATTTTGTTGCCTCAACATATGCAAATTTAATTTTACATAGAAGGGGTAAGTTTAATTTTTGGCAGGTTGACACTCATCCTAGAAGTGCCACTCATCCTGTTAATGCCACTCATGCTACCAGTGTCACTCGTTCTACCCGTGGCACTGCCCTGCCAGAGGCACTTATCCTGGCAGTGGGCACATCGCCATAAAGTAATTGCTCTTCAATTGGAGGTGTCGGTCAGTCCTATAATGGAACTATCAACTCCTTACTAAGTCTTGTCTGCCAACAATCGCAGCACATTTAACACGGATGATACTAATATTGGTTCCTAGAATGATTTGACTGTTCTTATTCCTGATTTACCTGAGGGTCACTATCCCTAGTGGCTTCGATTGGGACTAGAAGCCGGCGGCTTGTCGATGGTCCCCCCCCCTATTCGTTCTCATTTCTTGGAGTCATTAAATAATTTTGTTACCAATTGTATCTAATTGAGCACCCAACCCACAAATCCCTAAATAACGGAATTGACAACGTTTTGGTCGTTTCTGGACCGAAACATCCTGGTTCAAGACGGACCGAAACCTTGCCAATTCATTTATTTTCAGATTTTGGATCTGATGTCTAATTTATTATGATTTATTATCTATATCTATTTGTCTTGAGTTCCTCAAGTGTGACTCTACTCACAGCCTTGTCTTAAACCTTTCTCAAGTAATTCTTAAAGCATGACTATACTCAAGGCTTTGACTCGACCCTCTGTCAAGTCGACGGTAAGATAGATACGCTATGGAAAAAATCCACATGGGCCGTGACGAGGGTTCGAACCTACGTCAGAGAGGATCCCAGACGCTGCCTGGGATCCTTGTGCATTTGTTCATTTGATGCATCACGTGATTTTTATGTGTAGATACGCTATATTTTAAAGATTCAGCAAACTCAAGAGGAACTGGCTAGCGTGCTAAACTTCTGTGTATTGTGTGTATTAAGAACTATCAACTCCTGTGGAGTCGTGCAAAGATTCGAACACTTTGAAGATCATGGATCATGGAGAACAGTCTTAAGTGCCTCTTTATTGCCTCTTGTATCTCATCAGTTGTGATTTTGCTTTCATTTTAAGGTTACACTCAAACAATTATTTTGTGGAATGCCGCCTTTCATCCTCTGTGTTGTTACATTTGTTTAGGTCATAACAGTAAAGACAAATAATTTTCATTATTTATTTTGAAAAATACATCACGTATCATATGTATTCTAATACAATATGTCTCGTGTATTCTAATATATATCACATGTTTTATCGTATTTACACACATTTATCTCCTCACGATTTGCTCGCAACTCGCACAAAGTAATCACACTATTAACAACAAAACAAGACGGTTTTTGTTAGCCTACGAATCAAATCAATTTACTTGATCTGTACTAAGAAGCATACTGACACGACCAGCCACCAGACGACGGTGGCGAAGTGGCTTCCTGGGCGCCTACACCTTCGTCGAAGTCTCAAACGAAGGCTCCTGGTTGCTTTGGAGGTTGTTTATAAACACACTATGCCCTTGTAGTTGAGATATGCCTGATGAATCGCGTACAAAGTCTTGTGGAGAGGTCGACAGGACGGGTCTGCTGCTGCCGAAGGCCACAGCGGCGGAGGGTGACAAATTTCTGGTCCCGGCGTCTCTGAAGGTCGCTCCTGAAGACCCTGAAGTGAACTCGGAAACTTGCGATGTCCCGCCAGAATTTCCTGTCCCGAAAAATCTTGCACCTTTTGTTGGAATATTCTTAAAGAGAACCGATGGGATTCCCTTAATAATATTAGAACCTGAAGATGATCCGGAACTGGTGGATGAGGCGGAAGCACTGGAGGACGTTGAGGATGAGAAAGAGTTGATTGGAGTTACAGCTAATCTTCTAACCGCTGCACCCTGAGAAGAGGCCGCAGCTGCCGCAGAGGAAATGGCTCCTGATCTGTGAGCAGACGAAATGGGTGAAGTAATGTCAACTGCTATCGCTGGTGTTAGAGCTTGGGACGAGGTGGACCTCGAGAAAGTTGTCCCACTCGAGCCAACTGCCGCACTTGACGATATTCCTGATCTGCCTACAGCAGCGTGACCACTTCGCTGGTCAGCTACAAACACCGGACTCGAGACTGTCACTAAGCGACGTCCTACAGAAATGGGTTTAGAAGCAGAAGAACTACCGGTTGAAAAAGTCAGTCCGAAAGATTTACTAGCACCACCGAAGTTGGTATCTCCAACACCTGTAATACTTGAACTAGTGGCAGCTTTTGAACTAGAAGCGGCAGAACTAGCGCTACTAGAACCGGAAACGCCAGAGAGGGTTACTTTTGGCCCGGCAGTCAAAGCAGCCGCTTGACCTCGAACTCTACCTGCTCCAGTGGCTCCGACGAAAATACCCGGACCAACACCAGCAGATGGTGCTCCAGATGAGATTGATGATCCAAGTGGAGCAAAGCCTACTCCTGCACTTCCAGCAGAAGACGATCCATCTGGTAGTGTCGAGCGGAGATCAAACTCTGCTCTTTGACCTCCCGCATCCAAGAAACCTCCTGGGGAAGTGGTTGGGGCAATATCTTGAGGTCCTCCGGTACCAAGAGAGTTGTGGCCGAAGAACACAACTGGAAAGTGTGTACCTGAGGTTCCTTGTGTGATGTGAGACCCTTGTACATTAGTCGGTGCAAAGGAGCCCGACTCTCCCCTACCTAGAGTGAAGGTTCCAGGGCTTCCGATAAATCCACTTCCATCAGGAGCGCCGCCGAAGGTTCCAGAGCCCCCAATTAATCCACTTCCTCCAGAAGCACCACCGAAGAATCCAGGACTTCCGATAAATCCACTTCCAGCGAAGGCGTCAGGGTTAAGGAGTAATATGGGTACATTTGTTAACCCTTGAGCTCCAAGTGCAGCGCCTGAAGACCCCGCAGCGGACGAAGAAGCAGCGCCACTAGCTCCGTGCCCACTGAAAAATCCAAGCGTACCCACAGGGCCAAATCCAGAGGCTCCCGTACCACTAAAAGTTCCACCAAATCCTCCCTTTGAGTCTGCAGTTGCTGCACCAAATGCTGATCCTCCCGCAGTCCCAACAGTGCTCACGTGGCCAGAACCTCCACCAACTCCAGGTGAACCTCTAGAACCTCCACCCACTTCCAGCGAACCACCTCCTGGACCAAAGGATGTCAGAGCTGAAATGCTGCCTTCAGTTTCAGACACTTTAGAGTGTTCATCCGCAATCGCTGACGTAAACCCACTGGATGAGCTGAATCCGGATACTCCTGCACTAGCAGCCTCGCTAGTCAGCACGGCAGCTTTTTGGAATCCAGCTGAAATTTCTCCGAAGCTTGGAGCTTTACCCAAAGCTGTTGCTCCTAAAGATCCACCTGAAGTTGTTTCAACAAATCCAGATGCTACTGATGCTTCGTTAAATCCAGATACTTCACGAAATCCGGAAGCACCACTAAATCCAGCTGCTCCGCTAAATCCAGATGATTCACTAAATTCAGATGATCCACTAAATGCAGCTGCTTTTGATGCTCCGAAAAATCCTGATGTTCCTCCAAATCCAGCTGATCCTGATGCTTTTTCAAATCCAGTAAATCCAGATGTTCCTTTAAATCCAGATGCTCCTCCAAATCCAGCTGATTCTGATACTCCTCCAAATCCAGCTGATTCTGATACTCCTCCAAATCCAGCTGATCCTGATTCTCCTCCAAATCCAGCTGATTCTGATACTCCTCCAAATCCAGCTGATCCAGATGCTCCTCCAAATCCAGCTGATTCTGATACTCCTCCAAATCCAGCTGATCCAGATGCTCCTCCAAATCCAGCTGATTCTGATACTCCAAATCCAGCTGATCCAGATGCTCCTCCAAATCCAGCTGATCCTGATGCTCCTCCAAATCCAGCTGATTCTGATATTCCACCAAATCCAGCTGATCCTGATTCACCTCCAAATCCAGCTGATTCTGATACTCCTCCAAATCCAGTTGATCCAGATCCTCCATCAAATCCAGCTGATTCTGATACTCCAAATCCAGCTGATCCTGATTCTCCTCCAAATTCAGCTGATTCTGATACAACACCAAATCCAGCTGATCCTGATTCTCCTCCAAATCCAGCTGATTCTGATACTCCTCCAAAGCCAGCTGATCCAGATTCTCCTCCAAATCCAGCTGATTCTGATGCTCCTCCAAATCCAGCTGATTCTGATGCTTCTCCAAATCCAGCTGATTCTGATATTCCTCCAAATCCAGCTGATCCAGATGCTCCTCCAAATCCAGCTGATTCTGATACTCCAAATCCAGCTGATCCAGATGCTCCTCCAAATCCAGCTGATTCTAATGCTCCTCCAAATCCAGCTGATTCTGATGCTCCTCTAAATCCAGCTGATCCAGATGCTACTCCAAATCCAGCTGATTCTGATGCTCCTCCAAATCCAGCTGATTCTGATGCTACTCCAAATCCAGCTGATTCTGATGCAGTCCCAAATCCAGCTGATTCTGATGCTCCTCCAAATCCAGCTGATTCTGATACTCCAAATCCAGCTGATCCTGATGCTCCTCCAAATCCAGCTGATCCTGATGCTCCTCCAAATCCAGCTGATCCTGATGCTCCTCCAAATCCAGCTGATCCTGATGCTCCTCCAAATCCAGCTGATCCTGATGCTCCTCCAAATCCAGCTGATCCTGATGCTCCTCCAAATCCAGCTGATTCTGATGCTCCTCCAAATCCAGCTGATTCTGATATTCCTCCAAATCCAGCTGATCCTGATGCTCCTCCAAATCCAGCTGATCCCGATGCTCCTCCAAATCCAGCTGATCCTGATTCACCTCCAAATCCAGCTGAGTTTGATGCTCCTCCAAATCCAGCTGAGTTTGATGCTCCTCCAAATCCAGCTGATCCTGATGCTCCTCCAAATCCAGCTGATCCTGATGCTCCTCCAAATCCAGCTGATCCTGATTCACCTCCAAATCCAGTTGATTCTGATGCTCCTCCAAATCCAGCTGATCCAGATGCTCCTTCAAATCCAGCTGATTCTGATTCTCCACCAAAGCCAGCTGATCCAGATGCTCCTTCAAATCCAGCTGATTCTTTTACTCCTCCAAATCCAGCTGATTCTGATTCTCCACCAAAGCCAGCTGATTCTGATGCTCCTCCAAATCCAGCTGATCCAGATGCTCCTTCAAATCCAGCTGATTCTGATGCTCCTCCAAATCCAGCTGATCCAGATGCTCCTCTAAATCCAGCTGCTTCTGATACTCCTCCAAATCCAGCTGATTCTGATACTCCAAATCCAGCTGATCCAGATGCTCCTTCAAATCCAGCTGATTCTTTTACTCCTCCAAATCCAGCTGATTCTGATTCTCCACCAAAGCCAGCTGATTCTGATGCTCCTCCAAATCCAGCTGATCCAGATGCTCCTCCAATTCCTGCTGATTCTGATGCTCCTCCAAATCCAGCTGATTCTGATGCTCCTCCAAATCCAGCTGATTCTGATGCTCCTCCAAATCCAGCTGATCCAGATGCTCCTCCAAATCCAGCTGATCCAGATGCTCCTCCAAATCCAGCTGATTCTGATGCTCCTCCAAATCCAGCTGATTCTGATGCTCCTTCAAATCCAGCTGATCCAGATGCTCCTCCAAATCCAGCCGATTCTGATACTCCACCAAATCCAGCTGATCCAGATGCTCCTCCAAATCCAGCTGATTCTGATGCCCCTCCAAATCCAGCTAATTCTGATGCTCCTCCAAATCCAGCTGATCCTGATTCTCCAAATCCAGCTGATTCTGATACTCCTCCAAATCCAGCTGATCCAGATGCTCCTCCAAATCCAGCCGATTCTGATACTCCACCAAATCCAGCTGATCCTGATGCTCCTCCAAATCCAGCTGATTCTGATGCTCCTCCAAATCCAGCTGACCCTGATTCTCCAAATCCAGCTGATTCTGATACTCCTCCAAATCCAGCTGATTCTGATACTCCAAATCCAGCTGATCCAGATTCTCCAAATCCAGCTGATCCAGATTCTCCTCCAAATCCAGCTGATCCTGATTCTCCTCCAAATCCAGCTGATTCTGATACTCCAAATCCAGCTGATTCTGATACTCCTCCAAATCCAGCTGATCCAGATTCTCCTCCAAATCCAGCTGATTCTGATGCTCCTCCAAATCCAGCTGATTCTGATGCTCCTCCAAATCCAGCTGATCCAGATGCTCCTCCAAATCCAGCTGATTCTGATACTCCTCCAAATCCAGCTGATCCAGATTCTCCTCCAAATTCAGCTGATCCTGATTCTCCTCCAAATCCAGCTGCTCCTGATCCTCCAACTAATGAAGCTGTTTGTGCTCCACCAAATCCAACTGTTTCTGATACTCCACTATCTCCATCATGTTGAGCTTCTTCATGTTCAGCTGTTCTGTGTTCAACTTCACCCTCTTCTCCCTGTTCTGCTTCTTCACCTTCGTCTTTATGTTCAGCTTCTCCTCCTCCTTGTTCAGCTTCGCCATCTTCTTCATGTCCAGCTTCGCCATTTTCTGCTTGTTCAGCTTCACCTCCTTGTTCAGCTTCGCCTTCTCCTTGTTCAGCGTCTTCTCCTTCCTGTTCAGCATCACCCTCATGTTCATTTTCTTCACCTCCTTCGTGTTCAACTTGTCCACCTTCTCCGTGTTCTGCTTCGACATAAAATCCAGCTCGAACATCAGCTCCTTGTTCAATAAGTCCAGCTCCCTCGCTAAATCCAGTTACTTTACTGGATCCAACTGCCACACCAAATCCAGCTCCTCCACCAAATCCAGCTACTTTACTGGATTCAGTTCCTCCAAATCCAGCTCCTTCACCAAATCCAGCTTCACTACCAAATCCAGCTACTTTACTGGATTCAGTTCCTCCAAATCCAGCTCCTCCACCAAATCCAGCTCCTCCACCAAATCCAGCTCCACTACCAAATCCAGCACCTCCACCAAATCCAGCTACTTTACTAGATTCAGTTCCTCCAAATCCAGCTCCTCCACCAAATCCAGCTACTTTACTGGATTCAGTTCCTCCAAATCCAGCTCCTTCACCAAATCCAGCTCCTCCACCAAATCCAGCTACTTTACTGGATCCAACTCCCACACCAAATCCAGCACCTCCACCAAATCCAGCACCTCCAGCAAATCCAGATCCTCCACCAAATCCAGCACCTCCACCAAATCCAGCACCTCCAGCAAATCCAGATCCTCCACCAAATCCAGCACCTCCACCAAATCCAGCACCTCCAGCAAATCCAGATCCTCCACCAAATCCAGCTCCACTACCAAATCCAGCTACTTTACTAGATTCAGTTCCTCCAAATCCAGCACCTCCACCAAATCCAGCTACTTTACTGGATTCAGTTCTCCCACCAAATCCAGCTACTTTAGTGGATTCAGTTCTCCCACCAAATCCAGCTCCTCCACCAAATCCAGCTACTTTACTGGATTCAGCTCCTCCACCAAATCCAGCTCCTCCACCAAATCCAGCACCTCCACCAAATCCAGCTACTTTACTGGATTCAGTTCTCCCATCAAATCCAGCTCCTCCACCAAATCCAGCACCTCCACCAAATCCAGCTACTTTACTGGATTCAGTTCTCCCATCAAATCTAGCACCTCCACCAAATCCAGCACCTCCACCAAATCCAGCTACTTTACTGGATTCAGTTCTCCCATCAAATCCAGCTCCTCCACCAAATCCAGCACCTCCACCAAATCCAGCTACTTTACTGGATTCAGTTCTCCCATCAAATCCAGCTCCTCCACCAAATCCAGCACCTCCACCAAATCCAGCTACTTTACTGGATTCAGTTCTCCCATCAAATCTAGCACCTCCACCAAATCCAGCTCCTCCACCAAATCCAGCTACTTTACTGGATTCAGCTCCTCCACCAAATCCAGCTCCTCCACCAAATCCAGCACCTCCACCAAATCCAGCTACTTTACTGGATTCAGTTCTCCCATCAAATCCAGCACCTCCACCAAATCCAGCCCCTCCACCAAATCCAGCTACTTTGCTAGATTCAGCTCCTCCACCAAATCCAGCTCCTCCACCAAATCCAGCTGCTTTACTAGATTCAGTTCTCCCGCCAAATCCAGCACCTCCACCAAATCCAGCTACTTTACTGGATTCAGTTCTCCCATCAAATCCAGCACCTCCACCAAATCCAGCTACTTTACTGGATTCAGTTCTCCCATCAAATCCAGCTCCTCCACCAAATCCAGCTACTTTACTGGATTCAGTTCTCCCATCAAATCCAGCACCTCCACCAAATCCAGCTACTTTACTGGATTCAGTTCTTCCACCAAATCCAGCTCCACTACCAAATCCAGCTACTTTACTGGATCCAACTCCCACACCAAATCCAGCTACTTTACTGGATCCAACTCCTCCACCAAATCCAGCTGCTTTTCTAGATTCAGTTCCTCCACCAACTCCAACTTCACCACTAGATCCAAGTCCTCTTCCAAATCCAGCACCCGCGCTTGATCCAGCGCCCGACCCAATTCCAGTTCCCCTACCAGATCCCTTATCAGATCCGGCTCCCTTATCAGATTTAATTCCCGCGCCAAATCCAAATGCACTTTGTGCTGCTGCAGCAGAAGCTGCTACAGTTTTACTAGCTGCCGCAGACGCTGCTGAGAAAGCAGCAGAAGCACTCGTGGATAGCAAATTGCTGCCGGATAGAGTTTGAAATCCTCTGCTTCGCTCCGCCGAGCCCCGTCCGGCTGCCTTGCTGCCGGATTTGGTCGTCCCTCCGGCCAATCCGGAGCCCAGAACCACGATGTCTGTGGGGATCTCGTGGACTGTTACCTGCAAGGAATTACGTGTCATTATACATGGCTCTAAACGAAACCTGTACATCTTTTTTCGTCGATGATGGGGTTTAATGCGTATTTATTTATCAGTTGATGATGTCTGATGAGCTAAGAGGATGTCTATAGACATAATAATTGCCTTAGGTCGAGAACGACCTCACTGCATCTTCAGAGTCGTAAATTATTTAGTAAATACAGCTTAAGTCACCATGATTGAAGAGAGATGTAACTATTGCCTAAGTGAATACTTAAGTATTTGGTGAGTTCTGCCTCCAGGAGGTTATATTTAGGACACATTTTAAAAGTTATGTGTTCTTTTGATTCGTTTCCCCCCCCCCCCCCTGAAAGAATCATTGGAGGAGAGCGGTGATCGAACCAGTGTCCTAGTCACCCCAGACACACACACACACAGTAGATATTCTCATGTGTCATGTTAATGAGATTTTTAATGTGTTTGGTAATGCGTTTTATTTCTCAACTCACCCTGAGCAAAATTATGGACACCCATGTCATTTAAAAAATGGGGAATTTTACGATAATTGATGATAGTGATGTTGATGAGTGAAAACATCATTGAGCAGCATAATGGTTAAAGCATCATATAGCCTTTACCCACACGAAACACATTACAAGGGAATCCACTCTGGTGAAAAACAGTGAACTTTAAAGAACACAAATTGAGTGAAAGATGCTGATCAGACCACACACTAGAAGGTGAAGGGACTTCTCAATCGACTTGAGAATAGTCCAGGACGGACCGAAACGTCATCGTCCTTTCACCTTCTAGTGTGTGGTCTGATCAACATACTTTAGCCACGTTATTGTGACTCATCGCCTGCATATGAGTGAAAGATGCAGTGAATGAATCGTTTAAATGAACTGAATCAGTGTCGCTGGACTCACCTTGAAACCGGAGACCCCGTCATCAGAATAGACAGCAGTGCGAACTATCCCATCGGGCGACAGGAGACATACTTTACTCACGTTATTGTGACTCATCGCCTGCATATGAGTGAAAGATGCAGTGAATGAATCGTTTAAATGAACTGAATCAGTGTCGCTGGACTCACCTTGAAACCGGAGACCCCGTCATCAGAATAGACAGCTGTGCGAACTATCCCATTGAATGAATCGTTTCAATGAACTGAATCAGTGTCGCTGGACTCACCTTGAAACCGGAGACCCCGTCATCAGAATAGACAGCAGTGCGAACTATCCCATCGGGAGACAGGAGGCTGTAACTACCCTGCAGGACTCCATCCTCCACAAACTCCACGCGGTTCTGGTAATTGGTTGTCGAATCATCCTTAACCTCGAAGGCGAACTTGTAGGGCATCAGAGGCTACCAAGAAATGAAGTCCTTAGAGTTAAGTCGGATGTCAAATACAGAATTAGTTGTTCAAAAGCTTTCAGGGAGGAAAACCCTCGACCTATTTATCGACAAGGGGTAAAGTTGGGTAATTATTAGGAGAAAGTACTAAGGTACTATGACTACATAGATCCAAGAAGATATTTAAGGACGGAATGAGCAGTATCTCAACTACCACTCAAATTTTCCTTGTATGTCATTAACGTATGATAGCCAATAGTGTTCTAACCTCAAGTCCAAATCATGTAAACTGTAAACCACATTGTATAGAGGTTTACAATGATGGACGTTATGAGTACGTGTTAACAGAATTAATAATTTAGCAGAATTTGCCTCTAAAGAACAAAATACCTGTAATAATAATAATGATTAACCCTTCAATGACTATTAAAATAGCAATAAATCGTGGGTGCAAATGTTTAAAAATAATTAACTAATCATATAGAGAAAAGTCACAAATTGCGATTGGAGTAGAGAAGTCACTGACAGCGATTGAAGCAGTGTATAAGGATGAAGAAATCAATTTTATGCCAAATTTTTAACAAGATGATGCCTGGGTGTGACTGAGATGAGGCAGAAGAGGCAGATGCTGCATCCAGCATGCCCCAGAAGAAAAGGGAACCCAGCCACTATGGCAACAAAGAGTCTGGGGGGTGTGAAGCACACACACAGGGTTGAAGGAACGCTGGTACGTTGTTACAACATAAACACAACATAGGTTGCCTTGTTGATCAGACCACACACTAGAAGGTGAAAGGACGACGACGACGACGTTTCGGTCCGTCCTGGACCATTCTCAAGTCGATTGTAAGAATGGTCCAAGTGACTTGAGAATGGTCCAGGACGAACCCAAACGTCGTCGTCCCTTCACCTTCTAGTGTGTGGTCTGGTCAACATACTTTAGCCACGTTATTGCGACTCATTGCCTTGTGTATGTATCGTGGGGCTGTGCAGTGAAGGCTGTTTACTCACCGGATAGGGAGGTCCCGCTCTGCCATCACTGAATTCATCACTTTCATCAGAATCAACAAAGTCACTTCTCGCGCCACCGGGTCCAAGAGCTAGCTGTCCTCCCGCGGGGACAGGGAAGGAGTATCTTGGGCTCTGACGACGAAGACGAACAACTTCGCCTTTCAGAACGTTGCCGCAAACCACACCTATCGCCAACAGCAGCAGCAACAACAGCAGCACCTAGGAGGAACAGGAAATGGTTAACATTCAATTATCTTATACATAGCTCAGTTAGATACACACAAAACTAACATTTTGTCTAGCAAAGAACTACACATGTATTGTGTATCTTCTATTGAGATTCAAACCAACATGAGAACATTCGGGTGATTAAGTAGCAGAATTGATGACTCTTCTGTCTTAGATTTTCCATGTAGATCTTCGACAATTTGATGACACGAGAGGCAGATTCAACCCAAGAATCTTAAGCTTTTCAAAAAGCATTCGATACTAATTTGGCATTTACCACCATAAGGGATATCGTAACAGAATCGTATACGTTATTGACTCATTACGAATGGGTCCCGGGTTCGATTCCCGCGGTTAGAGAGTTGGACATGTCTCCTTTCACCTGGTGCACCTGTTCACCAGACAATAAATAAATACCGAGGAGTTGGACAATTGTTGTGAGTTGCGTCCTGGGAAAGGTCAGTAGTCTGGCTTTGGGAGCCTCGTTGAGCCTAAATACAACATGCAGGCTTCCTGTCCCCGACAACAAAACGCCATAGAGATGACTTTGTTCCAAGTGATACCTCTCAGGCACGCTAAATACCTCTTGTGACCACCATCTTAGTCGATAGTTTGAATGCTGTCACGGATCTATTATGATCTATTATGACGGGCAAATGGCAACTTGAATCAACTTGATTCGAATTATTTTCTGTCACAAACTTTCTCACTCAAACTGCTGCTGGTTCCACCCTTTACTTGTTTGATTAAGCAATGTTTTCACTCTAGTTGGCTGGTTGGGTCCTTGAGACTATATTAGTCAACTACACATTCATTCGTGTGTGTGGGATTCATTCCATTCCAAACATTCCAAATAAAAACAAACACGTATATTCGAAAGCTACCGGGAAAAATGTATCTTTTTCCGAGGTGTTTTTTTTTCAGGAAAATCTCAAGCTTTTCTATATTTCCAATCTGTGTTTTTTTATAATGCTTGATAATGTGAATTAAATTAAAAAAGCTTGAAAAGGCACAAGTCTTTAGTAAGACGTTCCAGTCACATGCTTCACAACTTTTCAGTTCATAAAGTTTACTTCATAAAAATAATAAATTAATGGGTCCTTGTAAAGTTGCTTCACAGCCACGTTTGGTCACTTCGAGTAGCTCTCCCGAACATGATATCAACCTCCAAAGATAACACATCTCGAGTTCGAGTTGTGTACACTCAAGAATCTCAGCTCTTGTGTAATATACCTTGTGCCCCATGGTGTCTTGTGATGCCGGACGTGTCCGGACGAGCACCTACGACTTCGTTCGTCGGGGGAGCAAGAATACCGCGCGGGCAGGGAGGCGGGTAGTATATATACCCTTACCTACCAGTCCGGGTCTCCTGGCCCACTAAGTTGACCAGACGGTTGAAGGGGTCACTCACTCCGCCCTTCTCCTTGTCGCCCGGGTGAATGCCGCCACTGGTGACCTGTCTGAGCAGGCGTTCCATGGACACTTTTAACAGCATATCCAGAGCAGATGACGGGGGCAGGTGGATGTCTTGATGCAGAGGTACGGTTGGAGACTTCCTCTAGAGAGGTCCGTTGGATACATGATCGAATACTGTTGGATACATTTTCTAGAGGTGCTGTTGAATACATGTTCCACAAGATGCTGTGGGAGACATATAGTCGAAAGATGATGTTAGGAGTGTGGATACATGCTTGAGTATCCTGTGTGTGTGTGTGAGGCAAGGATATATCCGTGTCTATCTCTCTCTCTATCCCGGCCACTCATCACGTTAAACGAATCATTTCAAGAAAGCTTTTTAAAATAGATTTAGAACCGCGTGACAGCACCAAACAACACTACTACTAATAATTAACAACAACAAGAATCGCACGATTAAAGAAAAACTACATAATTGGGAATACCAACTGAATAAAAAAAAAAAAAAAGAGTTCAACGACACTATTTTCGACCAACGACTGGCGGTCATGTAATTGGTTAAACGAGTCGGTGAGCTCCAGAAGTTGAATTATGCCCATAACAGTCGACAACGGCCAACGACAACACACTGTTGGAGGGGCAGGAAAGGTAAAAAAAAAAACCATGGCGATACACTTTCACCCAGACCTTTAAAGTTCATCTTAAGTGTGTTTATGTCTGGGGAGGGATGCTTCTATTACCTGCGCCGCCCAGTAGTTCTGCGCCTGAACTCATTTAAACATCTGCAGCGACGGGTTTAAATCACCTGAATCCCTACTATTAAACACCTGATTCGTTATATTCAAATACCTGAGACTACACTCTCAAACATCTGAACTCATCCTCCCAGGTTTTTTTTTTACAGGACCCATTCCCAAAGTGCTACAAGCCTGACCAGACCTGCATGAAGCATTTACATACCTGTCCAGTCACTCTCCACACCTGTCCCGTCCCCCCCCACACACCTGTCTCGTACCCCACACATTTGCAAAGGTCACCCACACTCTTGCCACGTCACCCACACACACACACCCACCTTCACTTTTTTTATCTTTAATAAAATACAATATAAAGCATATATACATAAATTTTACAAGACAATACATATACATATACAGTAGTATAATTTTCAGTAAACAAGTGATGCATTACCACAGAACATGAACTTTAAACTTCAAAAGAGAACAGTGTCTCAAAAATGTGTGTGTATGTGTGTGTGTGTTTGGAAATAATCACTGAATAAAAATAAACCAGTGGGCAAAGCGTTTTAGTGGAGCTATGCAGACTTCGATCCTGTTCCATAACCCTTGAAGTGAACGTGTTTGAGTGGGCGTTCTCTACCTGATGGAAAGTTTTTTGTGTGTCGTGGTGAACGTGCCATGAGTACTGGGAAGTGAGGGGCCAGTGCTTTACCAGTCGTTCTGTACCTGTTGCCTTGTCATTCACCTATCCAGTCTTACGAGTTCTTGGTCGATTCTGGCCTTAAAGTTGTGGAAGGAGGTGGCTTCTATAACTTCTTCTTTCAGTGCATTCTACATGTCTGTAACAAGGTACGAGTATTTCCTTACATTTTTCGTTTCAAAATGTCTAATTTTGTGGTCTCTTGAGCGCCTCTGTTGTTCTCTGCTCCAAGTTCTCTGTAGCTTTTCCATTTTTTAAAATCAATTCCTTAGTTTCTATGCATTCTTAACTCTTGAGTCAAGAGTTTGCTTTTTCTCTCGTCCACCGCTTCCTTGAGAAAAGTTAAGTGTTCCTTACACCTGTACATTTCCGGGAAATGAATTCCATCGTCTTAAGCTGCTTGATGATGCTACTTGAGCGAACATTCTTATCCAAGTCAGTCAGTCAGCATGGGACATTCTTCAATATAATGTTCAAGAGAATATTAGTTTTCCTTTTGAGAAAAGAACAACATTACCTTGAGTGTTTGGAAAAGATACGTCCGTATCCCAGAGGCGTATTCTGGCCACTATATTCCTGCTCTTATATTAGTTCCTATATAAAAATGACTCCTGGCGGTATCATTCATCATAGTGTTTAATGCTTCAACTTGAAGGTCTTCATAAGTTTGTTCAGTAAGATTTTTATCAGACATTCTGTATTCTCTTTGTCACTACTAATGAAGCAAACGTAGAAATAATAATTATTTCTACTAATTAATCCCACAATTATACCATTAATATTGTCAAATCCATGTGACATTTTCTTCACCCCTCGTGTAAGAGGTGTCTGACCCTTGTAAGTTATCGAGTAACATGAAAGTTGCTTTGGTAACTTTATCAAGTGAACTCTGAGGTGGGTGGGTGTTGTCTCCCAAGCACCTACCTGGGTGCTGGTGCTCCTGTCGCTGCCTCACACCAGTTCTTCCTGGTCCTGTTAGAGGGGAGAATGGTAGATTTTGTCAAAGATCTTGTTAGGGTAGTGATTACATTTTCTCACTATTTCTTTCTGCTTGATCTGTCTTTTGATTCTGTTTCTTTTTTTATTCTCTCTGTCTCCACGACTTCTCTGTCTGTCTGTCTGTCTGTCTGTCTGTCTGTCTGTCTGTCTCTCTCTCTCTCTCTCTCTCTCTCTCTCTCTCTCTCTCTCTCTCTCTCTCTCTCTCTCTCTCTCTCTCTCTCTCTCTCTCTCTCTCTCTCTCTCCAGTCTCTCTTATTTCGTAATTAAATCTTCAACAGACCAATTCTGTATAAGAGTTAAATCTGTAAGAGGGGGAATAATAAGCAATTCGTCATAGAGGCACCTGGTTCACAGCCAAGTGGTGAGGTAGTCAGATCTCTCTCATTAAAATGTACACACACACACACACACACACACACACACACACACACACACACACACACACACACACACACACACACACACACACACACACACACACACACATACACACCATGCCAGACATATCCCCTGAAGCCCACATCAAAAGAATATCAACAGCGGCATGTGCCAGGTTGGCCAACATAAGAACTGCATTTAGAAATTTGCATAATGAATCATTTAGAAATTCGTATACCACATGTCAGACCAGTCCTGGAGTATGCAGCTCTTGCGTGGAGTCCGTATCTCGTAAAGCACAAGACTAAGTTGGACAAGTTCCAAAGATATGCCACCACACTAGTACCAGGGCTGAGGGGTATGAGCTATGAGGTAAGACTACGGGAATTAAACCTCACGTCGCTGGGAGACACAAGATTTAAGGGAGACATGATTACCACATGCAAAATTCTTAAGGGAATTGATAGGGTAGATAAAGACAGTTTAACACAGGGGGCACACGAACAAGGGAACACAGGTGGAAACTGAGAACCCAAATGAGCCACAGAGACATTAGAAAGAACGTTTTCAGTGTGAGAGTAGTTAACAAATGAAATGCATTAGGCAGTGATATGGTGGAGGCTGACTCCATACACTGTTTCAAATGTACATATGATTGCGTCTGCCCCCCTTGCGTCTGCCGCCCTTGCGTCTGCCCCCCCCCTTGCGTCTGCCCCTTTGCGTCTGCCCCCTTGCGTCTGCCCTCCCCCCCTTGCGTCTGCCCTCCCCCCCTTGCGTCTGCCCCTTTGCGTCTGCCCCCTTGCGTCTGCCCCCTTGCGTCTGCCCTCCCCCCTTGCGTCTGCCCCCTTGCGTCTGCCCCCTTGCGACGCAAGGGGGAGCAGGTATGCCAAGGTCTAACTTTTGCTTCCTATTTAAGTACTATTATATACTTATCTAGACTTCACCTGCTGCTCCTTTTCAACAGATATTAACCACTTATCACGCACCCTATTCAACTCCCCCTCCACCACTCTTCTCTCCCCTCTCACCCCCCTCTTCCACTCTCCCACCCACCCCTTCTCCCTCTCATCTTCCTCTCACCCCCCCCTCTATCCACCTCTCTCACACGCCTCTCCACCATTCATCCCTCACCCTCTCTCACACATTCCTCCCCTCCCAGTCACCACTTCCTCTCTCTTCCCTCTCCCCAACACGGTGTTGTGCGGCTCACAACAGCCTGCTGCGTCACGGCAAAAGTGAACCAGATTTTAAAGGTCAGGGCTCGCCAGGGTGACCGGTTGGTCATTCCTCCTCACTGTAAAGCCAGTGCTATCAGCCCACTCACTGTAAACCCCAGTGCTATCAGCCCACTCACTGTAAACCCCAGTGCTATTAGCCCACTCACTGCAAACCCCAGTGCTATCAGCCCACTCGCTGTAAACCCCAGTGCTATCAGCCCACTCACTGTAAACCCCAGTGCTATCAGCCCACTCACTGTAAACCCTAGTGCTATCAGCCCACTCACTGTAAACCCCAGTGCTATCAGCCCACTCGCTGTAAACCTAGAACCCAATCACTGTACACACAGCGTCCACTCACTGTAAATACTATGCCACTCACAGTAAGCACCACAACGAAAATACAACGTTGCCACAACATTCGAACAAGTTTTTTTTAACACATAACAAGTTGTAACAACCTCTTAATACGTCATAAAAACGTTATATCAAGATGTAACAACTTTATTACAAGTTGTAACAAGCGGGAAATAGGGGCAATATTATGTTATAACATATAATTAGATAATAGATAACAGAAAAGATAATAGATCTTAATACAATATCCATTTTAACTAATATTACTTGACCTTTCACTACTGTTTCCCACATTCTAATACAGTCACACTTGAGCGCTGAGTTGGAAAGGAATTAGAACCTCAGATTCTCACCTGTTGTGAGAGCGGAAAGAGGAATCCAATTAAGCGCGTAGAAGTCAATCTACACCTACATCTACCCCTCAACATGTGGGTAGATGTAGTTACACACATACACACACACACGTGTCACAGGCCACATGTGTAGTTAAGATGGATGGCAGAGTATAGTATGCCAAGGTTACTAACAAAATCATGGCCTAGTTGATAGAGCGTTGGCCTCACACACACACACGCGCGTGCATGAGGGGGTCATGAGTTCGAGTCTCCAACAGCTCCGGTGAATGGGAGGTTATCAAGGTATTTACTGTGGCGTGTCTAGTTGATGTGTTCATATGCTTGAGGGCGAAGTCAATTCAGCTAGTGATTGATCTGATTAGTATTATGATTGATGGATTGATCTCATTGGCATTGTTATTGATTGAATAATTGAGCTGATTAGTATTGTTTCGATTGGTTGATCTGATTTGATATTGTGTTGATTGGTTTATCTGACTGGTATTGTTATTGATTGATTAATTGAGCTGATTAGTATTGTTTTGATTGACTAATCTAATTTGATATTGTTTTGATTGGTAGATCAAACTGATATCGTTATTGATTCGGTGATCTGATTAGTGCTGTGTAAGACCCTGGCTCGTATTGTCTCCATACTTGAAGCTGAGTGACCCCTGCACTCCGCGGGGTTCGAGCCTCGTTAAGGCACTCGAGAAACAACTCGAGTAACAAGTAACACTTGACCAAACTGCGAGTGACCGCCATTTCCTGGCACTGGCGTCACTCATTCCTCGGTGAGTGCCTGGCACTAACGAGGCGGGGAATGTTGTGCCAACAGCTAAATTGCTGCATTATACAGGAACAAGTGATTTGAGGAAATGTATGAATGTATGGAAATACACGTATGAGAGGTCAGCACATACAGGAAGAAGAAGAGGTGGTAGAAGCCTCCTCCTCCATCCACAACAAGGTTATTTTATATAGTTTATTTTAATAAATACGTTATGGAAGACAGGAAGAGTTATAGCCAATAACTTAATTTTAAAGTAGAACGTGAAATATTTTTTAAGACAACCACAAGACGGCTATTATAACTCAAGACGGTTAGCCATTTTAAAGTAGAGAACCGGTAAGAAACATAAAATGTAAAGTATTGCTAGATTAAACTAGATATAACAGGGGATATATATATATATATATATATATATATATATATATATATATATATATATATATATATATATATATATTATATATATATATACACAAATTTGCACTGTCTCTGCATTGTTACATGATCAGTATAGTCAGAGGCAGGTTTGGATCAAAGTCACTGTGACTACACGACTCATGTATCACAGGTCTGATTTTAACAGTGGGGTTAAAATACGTGTATTTTAAAAAAATAAAAAATAGTTATAAATGACTTATTTTAACTTATTTTTTTTGTGTCAGTAAATTCTTAATTCTGCCAAGTATCCGGGGTATCCTTGGTCTCCTTTGCTGTCTTCCCTCCGGTAAACCTGCTATACGGTAAACCTGCTATACATTTCACGTGTGTGAGGAGCGAGTTTACTCATCTGTGTTCCTCTCAGGCACAAATGTGTGTGTCGACTGCCCTTGCTTGCACGATCAAAGTAAACATCTTCTAATATTAGTTAACACATATCATCCTCGATATCAAATTAATACCCCATATTGCCGGCCATGGCGGCTCCTGTTATGGGTAGAATGTCGCAGTAATTAGTGATATTAATAGAGAATCATCTTTTGGTAGTCCTCGTTTCAGAGAGGCGGAACGATCTGGTACCTAAAGTCAGAGAGATAATTTTTTTTTTAGTGATGTCGAATTAAATTTTGAAATCGGAATTAGAAGCATTTTTTGTCGGGATGGGAAATGTCTTTATTATTTTACACTACAGCTCTCTCTCTCTCTCTCTCTCTCTCTCTCTCTCTCTCTCTCTCTCTCTCTCTCTCTCTCTCTCTCTCTCTCTCTCTCTCTCTCTCTCTCTCTCTCTCCTCTCTCTGTCGCTCCATCAATTGTATTATAAATTTGCTGGAGTTCTACTTCTACCACTAAAAGTCTGCTGGGGAAAGCCAATTCCCCTTCCAGCAAAGGACTGGAAACGTCATCAACTCCAGGAAATTTGTAATTCTCGAATCTGGAATTCAATCGCCTAGAGTGTAGTCCATGGATCCTCTTCTCTGACTACCTAGTACTGTTTGATTCTTCGAATTAAATGTAAATTCTGTGATACTCTTCCATTTATATTTAATTTTCTGATCTCTCTCTGTCTCTCTCTGTCTCTCTGTCTATGTCTCTGTCTCTCTCTGTCTCTCTGTCTTTCTGTCTCTCTGTCTCTCTGTCTCTCTCTCTCTCTCTCTCTATGTCTTTCTCTGTCTCTCTCTCTCCCTCTCTCTCTCCCTCTCTCTCTCTCTCCCTCTCTCTCTCTCTCTCCATTGTCAAAGGTTCCATACATTATATTGACGGCAGGAATTCATGTACACTTATTATTATAAACTTTCTAAATTGAATTATCAGGTAAATGTTACTATTTCGTGCATTATTTCGAACGGTAAACAAATAGGCGGTATATTGGTTGGGTAAATTTATGCAATGAACGGGGAAAATTGCAGTGTTCCTGTGCAACACATAGCAATATGTGTCGAGTTAACTGTGTCATCTCTCTTCTCGTAATTAGCATTATATGATCAGGACTTGATAAGGGTCCAGGACTTGATAAGGGTCCAGGACTTGATAAGGGTCCAGGACTTGATAAGGGTCCAGGACTTGATAAGGGTCCAGGACTTGATAAGGGGGTCCAGGACTTTATAAGGGGGTCCAGGACTTGATGAGGGGTCCAGGACTTGATAAGTGTTCAGGACTTTATAAGGGGTCCAGGACTTGATGAGGGGTCCAGGACTTGATAAGAGGGCCCAGGACTTAATAGGGGCCCAGGACTTGATAAGGAGTCCAAGGACTTGATAAGGAGTCCAAGGACTTGATAAGGGGTCCAGGACTTTATAAGTGTTCAGGACTTGATAAGTGGTCCAAGACTTGATAAATAGAAAAAAAACACAGTCTTCGCTTTCATTATATTTCATATATGAGTTGTGTTATTTATTTATTTGTTTATGGGAGTTGATTGGTGTTGGACTTTAAGGCCCATATACCTGCCCCCAAGAGACTGACAAAGCAACCTATCCTCTCGAATTATGAGAGGACACGTTTTGAAGACAGAATCTCAAACGGATCAAATACCATGTGCTATAAATCACATGTGATTTTGACCAAATACTATAGGAAACAGACTTTAAAAAATATAACGCAGACAAGATGCGAATCATACGTTTATTGGGTAACTATTAACAAAAAGTTCCGTCACAGGTTGAGGAAGGAGAGTATAAGTTCGGTATACAAAGACATGACACTAAGGTAAGAGTGTTAAGGATTTTCCTTCTCTCTCTATAACCATTTTCCTTTTCCCAAACATTCTGTATCCGTTAAGGGCAAGCTTGAGGTTATAGAGTAAGAGTCACTTCAACATGTTTGTTGACACTTTGCTGCTATCAAGATCACCTCATCTCCTTCGGCAACTAGAGATCGGTTTCATCGAGGTCTGTCATGATGATGGTCTTACGCAGGCTTGTGCAGTCCTCCGACGGTCTCTGTGGGTTGTAGTGGTCGATGTCTTCCATGTCCCTCTTGTCGTCTGCTGATGTCGAAGTCGTTCCTTGGGCCGAGGTATCCGGACTGCTCACACACAGCGCTGGGGTTTCCGGCGCTCTTGGGTGTGTTGGACTTGCTTTTGCTGTCGGACCTTTATTACCTGGTAAATCCTCGTATGTGTCACCTGTGTTTAGTTGCTGTCCAAACTTGTTGACATTCTTGTGGGCAGGCAGGTCTCTACCTGGGTGGATTTTTGCCTGTGAGGATTCGTGTTTGTCGATGGCAGCGGTGGCGACGGAGAGGGCGTGCCAGGAGCTAAGGCCACACCTGAAGGAGGACTGCCTAGAGTGGTACAGATCACTGGTTGTTCGTAGCGTGTCGTACCTCAGGGTATGGTCTGCTGCCTCCGATCTTCCGCCAGCTGCTTCGTATTCTAAAGTGGAGCTTAGACTAAACAGATTGGGTGAGATCGATGGGCTGTTAGATACAGGAGAGTTTCGAAGAAGAGACTGATCGGTAACCTCACTAGTTACTGTCGAATTGACGCTCGTCTGAGATGAATTTGTGTTTGTGTCTTGACTATAAGACGTGTTCTCTCCCACGTCTTCTTCTTGCAGCTGATTTAACCCACTGAGCCTCTCTCTATTTCGGGCAATTCTAATACATTCCTTTAGAACCGACGACGGGGTCGTGGTGCGTCTCGCATTCACCTTCTCGAGTTCGGGTACCTTCTGGAGGGTGGCGTACCGCGATCTGGATGTGTCTCCCTTAAAACTATTCCTAGACGTGTACTCCTGGATCACAGTTCTCTGTCCTTCGGCAGCGTACACGGAGGACGAAGAGTAGCATAGACCTGACCCTCTCCTGCGACGGTCCGTTGGGCTCACAGGTCGCCGGATGTGTTTGAACTGAAGGGAACACACTGAGATACTAACGTCACTCTCCACCGGCCCTGGGCTGTGAGTCTTCATCTTGGAGATTCCTTCGTGTACTGCTGGATATTCTTGAACACTATTCTTTGAATATTCTGAATATTCCCCGTGATTGTCTTTCGTTTCTTTTGTTTGCACGATAGTTTTTCCAGAATCAAGATTTAGTCCAGGAGATAATTTGGCTTTTCTTTGCTCCTCGACTTTTGTTGCTTCTTTTTCTGGAGTTTGTCCTGTCTGCAACGCCTCTCCTCCCGGGCTCAGTTTGCGGCCTCCATCACGATTTTCAGAGTCATTGGAGTCTGTGGTGTCGGAGTTGTTGCCATTGACTTTACTGACGTCGACCAGGGACACCACGGAGCTGTGGGAACAGCTTGACACCAGTGACCCCGAGGACCGGGTGAACAGGGAACTCAGTTCCCTTCGTCGGGTCTGCACGTGAGGGAGAACCATCCTCTGTGAGGGCCCGGCACCCTGATCAAGCTTTTTCAGCGCCTTGGTGGCCCGTTCGGAGACGTGAGGCACCAGCTGGGAATCCGGATTGCGATCGAGACTCGCGAATCTGTCGTCATCGTCGTTGAGGCCGGCTTCAGAAACGCTCCGGCTGACGATAACTCCGCCGACTTTCACCCAGTAAGGGCTCTTGCCGTAGCCGTCGTCGCACGTCTTAAGGATGTCTCCTTCGTAACACAATCCGACGACCTCCGCCTCGTCTACTATGTCTGGAAGAGACGTGCCGGAAGTTTCTGGCAGCAGGAGTGTCAGCAACGCTGCCACCAGGCACCCCGCTGTTGACGTCAGCCAGGGCACTGATGGATACGTCAGCTCAGCCTGTTATGTGATGAACAAACGTCAGCTCAGCCTGTTATGTGATAAACAAACAATCAATATTGCGTTGACCAGACCACACACTAGAAATTGAAGACCACACAATCGACTTGAGAATGGCCCAGGACGGACCGAAACGTCGTCGTCCCTTCAATTTCTAGTGTGTGGTCTGGTCAACATACTTCAGCCACGTTATTGTGACTCATCGCCTGCAAATCAATATTGCCTTTATCCTGGACACTGGAACTAAATATATCACCATTAATGACGGAGAAAAACACTATCAATACATCATCACCATCAACACACTCATGAACAAATCCACAAGGGCCGTGACGAGGGTTCGAACCTAGCTACAGCCTTACGGTTCGTGGATTCTTCAAGGCCCTTGTGGAGTTGTTCATTTGATACATCACGCTATTGTGATTTCCGTGTGTAACACATTCGCCATCATCTGTATATATACCAACTCAAGGCTACAACTCTGCCCAGTGGACCCAAGAGCCGCAGCTCATCCCCAGAAAATACAACTAGCTGAGTACAACTAGCTAAGTACTAATCCATGCATCAATAGAACGTCCTCCATTACCACAATATCACCGTTAATCCTACCACAATACCATTTCTGTTACCATTACAATCACAACTGCTATTATATACCACTATATTCACTATTTCATTATCACTGGAACTTTCACTACCACTCCTGTCCCCATATTTACCACATTCATACTAACATTACCATCTACCACACCTACCCCTCACCATCACCACTACCACACCTAACACCCCCATTTTACCACCTACCTATTACCCACACCACCATCTACTACCACCACACCACCATCTACTACCACCCACACCACCATCTACTACCACCACACCACCATCTACTACCACCCACACCACCACATCCCCACACCACCATCTACTACCACCACACCACCGCCCTTCCCCCCCCCCCACACCTACCACAATAGAGAGAAGCGGGGTCAGAATCTCCCCCAAAGCAGCGTGGGCGGCGCAGAGCCCCACAGCTGAAGCCCGAGCAGTAGTGGGCGCCACCTCCACACTCACCACGCCCACGCCCACCCTCGCTCCGCCCACGATGAGCACGCCCACGAACCGTAAGGCTGTAGCCAGGGCGAGGACGTCCATCCACGACTCTGTGAATTGAGCATTAAATATCAGGAATATGTTGGTTCATACAAGTGTGTGTTGGGGGGGGGGGAGGTGATAGGTGTTGTGTGGGGTGTGGGGCGGGGGGGGGGGCGTGTGTGTAGGGAGGGGGGCGTGTGTGGGGGGGAGGGGGGCGTGTGTGGGGGGGGGGAGGGAGGGCCGTTGCACGATTCTCTGTGATGTCTAAATAATATCAAAATACACAGAAGTTATGATTCCATTGTGATCTGTTCCATAGGAAAAAATAGGTGTTTATAATTCCTCATTTCAGCCAAACTTACGTTAGAGGCGTGACTAGTCCCTTACCCTTGACCAGCTGTAAGACGCAGATGACCGCAAGCGACAGGGCCGCCGCCAGGATGAGAGTGAAGATGAGAAAGGCCCTTCGATAGAACTGGGTGGTGAGAACCGCGGCTAGAACCACGGCTCCAGCCTCCACTCCGGCCCCCAGCAGCGATCCTAGCTGGCCCGGGCCTCCTAGGAGGATCATGAGCTGCCCTGGGCCATCCTGGCCCGCTAGTTCGCTCCGGAATCCGCTGTCTGCCAGCGACACTGCTAACCTGGATGTCAAGAACGGCGTGGATTAAATCCGTGGCGATACAGATGTGATGTGGTGATGGAGGTTTATAACCTATTCTAGATCAATAACAACAATTTCAAGGTATTGACTGGTTATATTCACTATACCGGCCAGTCACTATACTACTATAGTCACTGACCACGTCACCTGTCACTCACAATGTCACCTATTGCTCAATATAGCAATTATCACTCTAAACCTGACTTACAAATGCTGATTGCATTGCCAACAAAGCTAATGAACTAAGAGGAAAGATCTTGTGATCGAGATTTCATATTAGAGCAGTGGTTAGGAGTGATAATTTCCGAGATGATTACACATTCAACGTTTCTCGGAGGATATCAGATCACACACGAACGTAAGGAAAATCAGTAACGTATGTGATGTGTCGCTGCTTCGTATGTGTCAATAGTGAGTTAATTGGTAGTCACGCTCCACAAACACACACACACACACACACACACACACACACACACGCAATTGGATATGCAAGATTTGCTCCACAAGCTATAAGAAGTATAGTGCTGAAGTACAAGTGGTCGCAGCAGAAGTGTTTAACATGAAACTCTATACATCTCACACGATGACAATGTGATAGTTTCGATGCGCAAACTACATGCGAAAACCTGAGTATTCAGGCAGAAATGTTCAGAAATGTTCAGAATGTAAGTGTGTGCACAAACAGCTGAACATTCTCCCACTCACTGTACCCTGTACCCTCAGGCGTCTCTGCTCTAGAAGCCACTAGCTACAGCGGAACACTAAAAAAAACTTAAAAACAGTTTCAAGGAAAAAAAAAAGAGTTCTCGCTAAACATTAATCATAATTACATAATATTACAACAGAAAAAAAACCCCAGTCGTTTGACCTTTATTTCCACTCTTATTGGGTCCTCAGGGTGCTTGTTCGAGTTGCTGAATGTGTCGGGTCACTGCCCAGGCGGTGAGTGCTTGCCGGACTTTAACCACAGCCTCGTCGAGAGGTCAAACGAAACAAATGAAACCAAACGAGGTCAAACAGGTCAAAAATAAAATTAAACAAGGTCAAACAGGTCAAAAATGAAATCAAACAAGGTCAAACGAAAAATGAAATCTTCTACTATTGTTTTTCATTCTAATGACAAACACATTTTGTGTTTAGAATGCATTAATAATCAGCAAAATCACATCAACCTGTTTTCTTTATAGTACGTCATATTTTTTACGTATATTTTATCTAAGACCGCAATCGTTGCTGTCTACCTAAAGGGCCCAAAAGATAGTTGAACGAGGGATTTCGGTAGCGGATCGTGAAATGGACATAATTACCCAGATTTCTATTCGTGGGTGCTCGGGTAGGTTAGGTTAGGGCACTTTAGTTCGACAGTTTGTTGAAGAAGTCGGGAACACTTTAGAAAACGGTCTGGTTACAGAGGTAACGCTTTGGCAGGTTTCCAGGCAAGGATCCCTGTTGCCTGCAATTCAAAGTTGACAAATTGCTCTCAAACGGAGTCAGATGGAGTGGGAAATTGAACAAGAGTGAGCCCAAAGGCTGGCCAGTGAGTCTCAGTAAGACTTCCTCCAATGGGTCGTTCACCGTGACCTTTTAACGAGCGTCTGCGAAGGGTCTTAATTACCCCCCCCCCCCCCCCCAAGGCGGCAAAAAGGGAAAAAATATAGCAAAAAAATATATCAGTCAGTTTAAAAACTTGAATCATTGCCAAAGCTTTTATTTTTTTCAACCAAGACGGTGTATACAGTCGACTTTGAATACATTTTTTAATGTTTTTCCTTTTTTTTTCAGTGAGGCACTTTTATATTTCTACAAAATGGCAGCAAGAAACAACTTTATCAAGACACTTTGATTAACTTTATCAAAATTTGTCTCGTATGACTAAATGGCCAGAAACACTTGTGGAAACACTTAGGCAGCATTTCGGATCAAGTGGCCTCACCCCGGTGAAAATGACTTTCGTACTTAGTCTACATTAATATCGTAATTCGATGTCGGTGATTACCGAAGGTAGTTTAGACTTTAGAGGGTAGTTGGTCAAGACGTGCTTCGCTGCAAGCCTCTCTAACAACCTCTCCCCCCCCCCCCATACTTGATTTCTATATCAAGAGGGCGGGGAGGTACATCAAATTGGTATCTATAACTAATAGATATGGTACTCTAGATATGCCATTATAGGTGTGGTACTCTAGATATGCCATTATAGGTGTGGTACTCTAGATATGCCATTATAGGTGTGGTACTCTAGATATGCCATTATAGGTGTGGTACTCTAGATATGCCATTATAGGTGTGGTACTCTAGATATGCCATTATAGGTGTGGTACTCTAGATATGCCATTATAGGTGTGGTACTCTAGATATGCCATTATAGGTGTGGTACTCTAGATATGCCATTATAGGTGTGGTACTCTAGATATGCCATTATAGGTGTGGTACTGTTGGTATGGTACTCTATGCATAGTACTCTACAACAAAGTACTTCCAGTCTCTCTCAGTATTTATCCATACACATTATTGGTTAATTTATTTATTTATTTATATTTATTTATATAAAAAACAGTTCTTACATTCTTGTAAAGCCACTAATAAGCATGTAGCGTTTCAGACAAATCCTTAATCCTAATTTTCCCCGGAATACGACTCTCCAAATAGTTTGACACAACCCATTCACTGCTGGGTGAAAAGGAGCTGTAGTTAAGGATTGGTGCCCAGTCAATCCTCCCCGGTCAGGATACGAACCCAGGCTCACACTGCCGAGTGCAAGATTAATTAATTAACTGGTGCAAATATTCCCAGTAAATCCCTTAGCAGCACAAGGTACTACATAATTAATCCTAATTAATCAGATTTTGACTTGAAGCAGAGAACCAAACTTTTTGTAAATATTTGAATTCCCCTCAGCCCTGCGCAGTAGAGTATATTCTATTACGTTTTTCTTCCCTTCTCTGCGCATTCCGTTCGTTCTTCTAAAATTATTTAAGCAATTGATATTTTTAAACTCGGTGAATTTGTTAATTTTTTAGAATCTGAAAATATTTTCAGTGGTTATTTTTTTAGAGTGGTTTCAGGAGTCTATTAACCCCGTTGGGAAGGTGGGATTGTGTACTCTCTTGTGAACCGTATATGTACTCTCTTGTGAATCGTATATGTACTCTCTTGTGAACCGTATATGTACTCTCTTGTGAACCGTATATGTACTCTCTTGTGAACCGTATATGTACTCTCTTGTGAATCGTATATGTACTCTCTTATGAACCGTATATGTACTCCCTTGTGAATCGTGTATGTACTCCCTTGTGAACCGTATATGTACTCTCTTGTGAACCGTATATGTACTCCCTTGTGAATCGTGTATGTACTCTCTTATGAACCGTATATGTACTCCTTTGTGAACCGTATATGTACTCTCTTGTGAACCGTATATGTACTCCCTTGTGAACCGTATATGTGCTCCCTTGTGAATCGTATATGTACTCTCTTGTGAACCGTATATGTACTCCCTTGTGAACCGTATATGTACTCCCTTGTGAATCGTGTATGTACTCTCTTGTGAACCGTATATGTACTCCCTTGTGAACCGTATATGTGCTCCCTTGTGAATCGTATATGTACTCTCTTATGAACCGTAAATGTACTCCCTTGTGAACCAATTGTTGATCCCTGGTAAGACCTTTGTTTACCCCTTGAAAACTACTTATAGAACCCCCCTTGCTTACTGAAATTGAAATTGAAATTGAAATAAGTTTATTGAGGTAAAATACACACAAAGGGATGAGGTAGCTCAAGCTATTCTCACCCCATTCAGTACAACGTGTTAGTATATACATAGACACACATCACAAATAAACATATTGTCAAACATTCTGAGAGGTAAACATATACATTTCCTCCTTCACAAGTAGTATGTTATCAGACGTACACACAACCCTTGCTTACTGGTTCACTTCGATTCTTGTAGAGTGTATTATACACAGTATTAAATGACATAATATAATTCACAGAGAAATCTCTCAAACGCGAGATATCAATGAACAAATGAGCCTAAAAAAACTATTGGAACACCCAACACATGGGTTCGAACCCTCATTAGGTCTCCTGTTGGATTTGTTCAAAATATGTAATTTTTTATGTACTAGAAGACGTTTAAAAGTCTATTATTTGATTAATAATTGATTACAGTTAGTTTAGAATCGTGAAACTCGACGTCTACGAGATTTTTGCTTAGCTCATAACTAATTCTACCTAATAACTACATAAATTATCTCTCCTACATGTATTATCTTCTCAAAAGTACCTAATAACTACATAAATTATCTCTCCTACATGTATTATCTTCTCAAAAGTACCTAATAACTACATAAATTATCTCTCCTACATGTATTATCTTCTCAAAAGTACCTAATAACTACATAAATTATCTCTCCTACATGTATTATCTTCTCAAAAGTACCTAATAACTACATAAATTATCTCTCCTACATGTATTATCTTCTCAAAAGTACCTAATAACTACATAAATTATCTCTCTTACATGTATTATCTTCTCAAAACTTATTACGATAATTTGCCATAGTTCCTTAATTATTTATTACAGGAGTTATAATTCCTGGTATAATATAATTTATTATAATTCCTGGTGTAATTATACCAGTGAATGTATTTGAAATTTCATACACCTAAATATGTATAATTGGATGTATGAAATTATTTCCCCAACACATTTCATTCACCTGTTGGACAATTTACGAATATTCTGACTACATTTGCAGAATAGGTAAATAAATCCGTTTTATGTTTGAGGAGTTAAATGGGGTTTAGCTGGGTGGCCATGAACTTTAGTTGTTTAATATGTGTTGGCGAATGAGGGGCAGAGGTAGAACAGGTGTTAGGGTTGAACAGGTGTTGGGATTGAACAGGTATTGGGAGTTGACTGCAGCCTCTTGCCAAGAATTTACAAAAAAATTAGCTTTCAACAATCAACTAAGAAAATACAATTATAATTCCTGCAATAAAGAATGAAATAACGCTGGGAAATTATCGTGGTAAGTTTTGAGAAGATAACAAATATAGGAGAGATAACAGAGATAACTGTTAAAAATATTATCAGTACAACAACTCTTGGAGAGATATAATAACCTTAATAACACCCCAGCAACAATGGTTATCATAATAACTCCAGCAGGAGATAACAGCTCTCCCTTCCCCTCCTCTCCAAACTGGCTTAGGTCGAGTCTAAGGTCGAGTCTTAGGTCGTATCTTAGGTCGTGTCTTAGATCGTCTCATGTCGTTGCATTAAACAGCGCTCTGACTCAAGGGCTTTGACCAAACACAAGGAGGGTTGTGACACCCTTGACCCCAAGCAGTTCCTCAAGTCATGGCCTTCCCCAACGGTGAAAACACTTACAAATGTTCTCGTTCTGTCATCATAGAGATCCAAAAAAAATTAGTTTCTGCCACTCACGATTTCTTGTCGTGTATGGGAAACGCATTAAAAGAGTGTCAGGGGCAAGAAAAGGAGACCTGGTCGAAGACCGGGCCGCGGGGACGCTAAACCCCGGAAATTATCTCAAGATAACCAAGATACACTAACTCGAAGTCTCTTCCACTTCGAGTCAAACTTTTGAAGGAATCTGTAAAGAAACTCGGAGCTGGTCGGTTGTGATGCGAGTCTTTGTCTAGAGCAAGAGTGCTCGTACTGGACTTGTAAACGCTCATTCAACCCAGCATGAATACAGTAGCTGTCTAAGAAGGAATACAGTAGCTGTCTAACAAGGAATACAGTACCTGTCTAAGAAGGAATACAGTACCAGTCTAACAAGGAATACAGTACCTATCGAACAAGACCAATAGCTATCCTAGCCTCTACAACAGAGCACTAAAGCCCCTCCTAAAACCCAAACAGTTCTCACCAGATGAAGACAACGATGAGTGTGTGTTTCCTGAGTCGAGGAGTTCTGAAGAGGGTGAGGAGGCTTCCCCAGGGGGCGTCCAGGTAGACGTGGGCGGCCAGATGGTCCATCTGGGCGTGGGCGGTGGGCGGCAGGGTGAGTAGATTGTGTCTGGCCAGTTGGCCGGCCACTAATCTGGCTCGTCTAGTCTTGCCTCTGGTCAGGAGCCATCTGAGGGACTCCGGGATCATCCTGTAGAAGGAGGAGGATGATGACTTCAGGTGAGAGCGCTTTGTTGAGTGTAGTTACAGGATGAGAATTTGTTGCTCGTGGTGTCCCGTCTTCCCAGTACTCTTTGTCGTGTAATGCTTTGAAACGTGTGTGTGTGGTGTGTGGTGTGTGTGTGTGTGTGTGTGTGTGTGTGTGTGTGTGTGTGTGTGTGTGTGTGTGTGTGTGTATATAATATAAAACAGCTTATATTTATATCTCCCCCCAAACTCATTCATACACGTGTAACCTACGCTTGAAACAATCAAAGCGCTCCCACCTCTATTATGTTTGCGTTGTCATCGACTCCACTAGCCTTCATATACAGCCTAGCCTCGTAAACAAAACGGTGTAAAAAAGGTTGTAAATCCAGCCCCCCGTTGTTTATGAATGAAAACCATTTAACACACGATTTACAACTGATGTTCGAATTTTTTTTTGAACAGTATTCGCTCACGGCGGGCTGTTCGAATCGCACTTATTATCGATGCCTAACCATACATACAATTCAACATTCATTTACCTTTTTTTAATACTCATCACGTTAAGATTTTGTAAAATTAATGAATGCGTCTTTGGGATCGGCCGCCGCTTGAACGAGCCTCGCCCGAGGACAAACTGCCATATGTGTGGCTGAGTTGGAGACCTGCTCAGTGGGGCTGGCAATACCACACCTACAGCCCTATATATATACACGATAGCAAGTCTTTTGTGTGCGGAATATATCAGAATATCGCCAAGACATCACCATGGCCTGATATAGCAATGAAAATCATTTTGAGGCAATGGAGTGATACCAATATTCAGGGTGTATATATGGTTGTAATTTAACAACGTTGTCTCTTGTTGAGAGAAAATATTGTAACTTATTTTTATATTTGACTATGGAAAATCTATATATTTTCTACTGACTGAACGTGCTGTAATGAGCGATTGACACTTATCTATTTCTATATCCACAGAAAGGTAGAACAGATTGTGTTAGTACAGATTTTAGCGTTTAATCTGTGCATTCTCCCAAAAAAACAGTGCATTGGCTTTTTGCATTACGCGTAGCAGATATCCTAAGGGAAAGGTGATTGTGGTGGTAGGAGGAGTGGGGGGGAGGGTGATTGTTGAGGGCTTCAGCGGTCATTAAATGCTCTAAAACCAGGGCACTGAACAGATGGTCGTTGAACGAAGTGGTCGCTCAGATGGCGTAACATTTTACGTGCCTTGAACGTCGTCTAAGTGCATCGCTTCTTGACAAATGACCGTTGTTATGAGAGCGTAACCTCGTTAACAAAGGTCAGGTATTGTATCTCCAACCACCACTTGTAATGGACGCCACAGCGACGGCCTCTCTTACTGCAAGTCAGCGTTCAATCCCCTATGGTCCAAGTGGCTGTTACACCATTCCTTCCCACCGTCCTATCCCCCCCTACCATCCCATCCTCATATCCTATCCAGTGCTATAGTAGCTTAGAGCATTCACCTCATGAACGTAATTACAGCGTTCTACGTACTCAAGAAACTGCCCATTGAAGCTGTATTCAAGTATTTTAGAGATAATTGAAGGAAGGGGAAACAATGACGATAGTTTGATAGTTTAGAACAGTCGTCCCCTCTTCAGGAGCACGTCAGACGCGTTTATCATACTTAGTACTTGAAGAACTTTGACGAAACAACTTAGTTGAGATGAGAAAAATATTTTGAAAACAGAGACAGAAAATTTACCAGATGTGACTTACAATATATATATATATATATATATATATATATATATATATATATATATATATATATATATATATATATATATATATATATATATATATATATATATATATATATATATATATATATACGTATGCGAACAAGCCTGAATGGTCCCCAGGACTATATGCAACTGAAAACTCATTAGTTATATATATATATATATATATATATAGTATATTTTGGTAGCAGTCTTTCCTGTAGACATATATTATTAAATGTGTTTTATTAAAAATATTATTATTAGAATTATTAAATTCTAAATTCGTGTTAGAATTATTAATCTTACTTTTTCGGTCATATTTAATAATATATATATATATATATATATATATATATATATATATATATATATACGTCGTACGCGAGAATGTGTAATTATGAGACAGGTGCTGGGGGGGGGGGGGACAGAGAGGAACACCAACGTCGGTAGACAGAAACACAAGCAGAGGGAAAAGACAGGAACGCCAGCAGTGACAGACAGGAAGTAGTGACAAGGTGACAAGTGTTAAGACACACTGCATTACACAAACCAACAGTGCACAACACCTAAATAAAAACCGTTGTCACCAAGCTAAAAAGGATTCGAACCTCCTTTTCCCATCCCCTATTCAGCCCGTGACACAAGTGGAAGCTGAGTACCCAAATGAGCCACAGAGAGATGTTAGAAAGAACATTTTCAGTGTCAGAGTAGTTAATAAATAGAATGCATTAGGCAGTGATGTGGTGGAGGCTGACTCCATACACAGTTTCAATTGTAGATATGACAGAGCCCAGTAGGCACAGGAACCTGTACACCAGTTGATTGACGGCTGAGAGGCGGGACCAATGAGCCAAAGCTCAACCCCTCAACTAGGTGAGTACGCCAGATTCGTCCGGCGATCACAAAAATAACATTGACACCTTCCAGAATCAAGTGAATATTTTGATTTTAAGCTCCAGGTTACGTCAACAAGGCTTCAGATCCCACCACTCTGAACACCTACACGAGTCAGCCCTGAATAAACGGGGCTTTTGAATTACCGTTTTCTCTGAATTTAAAAAAAATCATTCTCAATTCAATCAATTTCAGTTGAAGATTGCAGGGCATAATTAAGAGGGGGGTGTGATGATGATGTTTATATAATGTAGGCCTAGAGGAAGTTGTTTAAAACAGGAATCAATCCGGTGATTGACCAAACTGGTGAACCATTTATCTAGTTACAATCTACTGAATAAACCATCTATCCAATGAATATCTACTAAGTGAATCGTCTACCCAGTGAACTATCTACCCAGTGAACTATCTACCCAGTGAACTATCTACCCAGTGAACTATCTACCCAGTGAACTATCTACCCAGTGAACTATCTACCCAGTGAACTATCTACCCAGTGAACTATCTACCCAGTGAACTATCTACCCAGTGAACCATCTACCCAGTGAACTATCTACCCAGTGAACTATCTACCCAGTGAACTATCTACCCAGTGAACTATCTACCCAGTGAACCATCTACCCAGTGAACCATCTACCCAGTGAACTATCTACTCAGTGAACCATCACGCCTTTACTCTCTTCGTTCCAGTCAAGTCAGTTGGCTGAGGCCAAGTTCTTTTGACTGTTCAGAACTGATGACTTTAGTAAAGGAAGCTGTCAACCTTGTTTTTATTAATCTAATTATATTATTGCATTCTGTGCTGAGAGAAAGAGAGAGAGAGAGAGAGAGAGAGAGAGAGAGAGAGAAAGAGAGAGAGAAAGAGAGAGAGAAAGAGAGCATATTAAGAAACAGTGCCAACTTATATATGATCAAAACTATACTGAATTTTTTGATCAAATTCAGTATTAGTGATCTGATTGTCAAGCTGAGGAGGAAACAAAATCTATATATAAAATTAAATAATTATATTCAGGTCAAATCTCCTGAGTATATGATATATTCAGTGAATAACAGGTTGCATCTCCCAGTGCGACCCGTCACACAGATGACAGCATCCCCAGGAAATATGACCAATTTCTCTATTGTTTTTCTAAGTCTAAGTTTTCTAAGTCTAAGTGTTTTCATGTCTAAGTCCATGACCCATAACATCAGCAAACACCCTCACACATAAAAAAATAGAGGTCAAAAGACGAGTTATACATTGAATGTTGAAATACAATTGTGTTTTTTTAAATTATTTTAATATATCGATACACAACTTTACGTTTGGAAATCTTAGAGTTTCTGGAAGAGAAAACGAGAAGATTATAGACTTGACTATTATTTCCTCTCATCTTACCAAATAAGATGGTTTTAGTTCTTATATTGCATGTCTCTTGAGGTAGAGAAATCTAACTCTATTTTTAGTAGATGTTGTAAAATCTTTGCAATGTTGCTATATCTTTACGACAGAATGTCTGTTTGTCTAAGGTAGGAGGCCAGAAACTTAGGGCTAGTTTCACCCAACTTTTCAATGCGACACATAGGTGGTGTATGACTGTCATAGGTTGGTCAGGGTCAGCCACACTGCCTTTTTATAAAATGTTATCAGGTCCGAAAGTGACTATGCTATTTTGATACAGTTAAAAAAAATGGGGATTTTTTTCCATAGAATTTTGAGCAGTTTCTTCTCTCAACACAACATAGGGTACAAACCCAACACAGGCAACACAACATAGGGGTACAGGCCCACCACAGGCAGCACAACATAGGGTACAGGCCCACCACAGGCAACACAACATAGGGTACAGGCCCACCACAGGCAACACAACATAGGGTACAGGCCCACCACAGGCAACACAACATAGGGGTACAGGCCCACCACAGGCAACACAACATAGGGGTACAAGCCCAACACAGGCAACACAACATAGGGTACAGGCCCACCACAGGCAACACAACATAGGGGTACAGGCCCACCACAGGCAACACAACATAGGGGTACAGGCCCACCACAGGCAACACAACATAGGGGTACAAGCCCACCACAGGCAACACAACATAGGGTACAGGCCCACCACAAGCAACACAACATAGGGTACAGGCCCAACACAAGCAACACAGGGAAACAAATCCTGCAAGTTGACAATTATCCACACAACACACAAGTGAAACAAAGTGTTGCAACGCCTCAAGAAGCAACACATCACAATGGAACAAGTGTTACAAGGTCAGAGGTCAAGTCGTGTTCTCCAGGCTTTCCTTCACATTAACCTCTCACCCACATACCCAGAGATGCCGCCCCCCCCAATCCCCCCTCCAATCACGTGACCTTGCACCGAGGAATATTACTACACTGTGATTGGAATCAAAGGTAAAAAACTTCCAATCTTCGAACCCTAACATTTTTTTTTTTACCAAATAGCTAACACTTTTGTCAATTAGGATTTTTTTCAGCATTTAATTTATCTGCTGCTTAGAATTGATTGAAATGCAACAATAATTGACTGTAGAGGGACTCTAGTCTATCCATCAACTCACCAGCAATAGAGCAGAGATATGAGGAGTGGCAGAGAGATGGCCAGTTGGACGGCCCTCCAATGTTGGACCAAGAGAGCCACAAGGGCCCCCAGAGCCACGCCCAGGGGCCTGGCCATGCCTCCGGCCACCAGGGCCCGACATCTCCATCTAGGGGGGAAGAGTTCAGCCACCAGGGTCCAACTCGTAACATACACACCCTGTGGGAGATTAACATACTTAAACACCATCGAATTATGTTCCTGTGATATATCTGACATCACTTGGATATGCTGTGGTGCTGGGCATGGATATATGTTCTAGTGCTAGGCATGGATATATGCTGTATTGCTAGGCATGGATATATGTTCTAGTGCTAGGCATGGATATATGTTCTAGTGCTAGGTATGGATATATGCTGTAGTGCTAGGCATGGATATATGTTCTAGTGCTAGGCATGGATATATGTTCTAGTGCTAGGTATGGATATATGCTGTAGTGCTAGGCATGGATATATGTTCTAGTGCTAGGTATGGATATATGCTGTAGTGCTAGGCATGGATATATGTTCTAGTGCTAGGCATGGATATATGTTCTAGTGCTAGGTATGGATATATGCTGTATTGCTAGGCATGGATATATGTTCTAGTGCTAGGCATGGATATATGTTCTAGTGCTAGGTATGGATATATGCTGTAGTGCTAGGCATGGATATATGTTCTAGTGCTAGGCATGGATATATGCTGTAGTGCTAGGCATGGATATATGTTCTAGTGCTAGGCATGGATATATGTTCTAGTGCTAGGCATGGATATATGCTGTAGTGCTAGGCATGGATATATGTTCTAGTGCTAGGCATGGATATATACTGTAGTGCTAGGCATGGATATATGCTGTGATGCTAGAGATATAAATACACTATGATCTAAGACTGGGATTTAAATTAATCCCACAAAAACTGGGATTTCAATGAATCCTGACTTAAAGTCATTGGTAAATACTGCACAACCCAGATTAATATCACTGCCAGAAGATATACATGACAAAATCAAATGAATGCCTGATATTTATATGACAAATTAGAGAATTGAAGTATTTTTATGCACCTGCCTGGTATATGTGGGACCACATAATGAAATATATCTAAATTTAGTGCTCAAATATGCAAATGAGTTCAGATATGCAAATCAAGTGTATAGATATGGAAAAATCATAAAGTTGATTGAAATACAATTTCGAGCATTAATTACTAATAACGGCAATATCGTTGTGATTTTGTAATATTTATTTTTAGTGATTAACATTATTAGTCAATAATTATTATTAGTCAATAATTATTATTAGTCTAATTGTAAAGCGATTGATACCAGAATGGACAACATTCATTTCAACTATTCAGAAGGCATAAATTGCTCCCACACAGGATGCAATGTTGCAAGTGAGATCAACTTTTCAGTTCTTTAGATAATTGACACTGAATTAAAATTGCGCTTTCATTGCTCAAAGTATGGGACGGGTTCGAGCCCTGGGTACGGTAGGGTCGATTAGGAAATAGTTTCTTAACTGTTCGCGCCCTGCTTACCCAGCAGTAACTAGGGACCAGGTTGTAAAACCTCGTTGTGGATCATGTTTAAGGGATAAAAACAATATTACTGAATAATCAAACCGGTTTCTGCACGAGGGGACTGAAGTTGAATTTAAAGCCAGGAAAGCCTACCACTATCTTGAGGTTATCTTGAGATGATTTCGGGGCTTTAGTGTCCCCGCGGCCCGGTCTTTGACCAGGCCTCCACCCCCAGGAAGCAGCCCGTGATAGCTGACTAACACCCAGGTACCTATTTTACTGCTAGATAGCAGGGGCATAGGGTGAAAGAAACTCTGCCCATTGTTTCTCGCCGGCGCCTGGGATCGAACCCAGGACCACAGGATCACAAGTCCAGCGAGCTGTCTGCTCGGCCGACCGGCTCCCCTACTATACTACTACTATAGTACCACCGGATAATCTGACCTGTAAACACCGGTTAATCTAACTTCCAGACACCGGTTATAGTGACCTGTGAAGATAGAGGTAAATGGAGTGAAGGGAAGGTGCCCAGTTCCTCCCTATCCAGGATTCGAACTCGGGTCCTCTCTCTCTCGCTTGCGAAGCGAGAGGGTTATAACCAACATCATCGGGTGTTCGTAACCTATTATAACGAGTGAAATATATATATATATATATATATATATATATATATATATATATATATATATATATATATTCTGTGTATCTTTAAACATAACAGCTTTCCCTCTACAGGTGTAAAGATCTCTTCTGTTCCTAAGCATCACTGACGTTCCTCTCCTCAGCATGACAAGGATGCTGCTTCGCCTCAGGCAAATCTGGAGCCTATTTGTGTCAATCTTCATCACGACCAGAGGGAAATATCGCGAAGATTCCTACCCCCCAAACCTGAAATGAATAGTGGAGAGGGAAGCTCTCCTCTGAAAAGGGTCGTAATTCCTTCCTTGCAAGACAGGCTCGTGTCTCGTTGGCGAGTAATTTCCCCCACTAAGATATCACTTAAATCAATCTCGAAATTCTTCCAAGACATAACCAGAGACAAAATGAGAAACTGTTCCTACATGAAATTAATATGTGGCCTATAAGAAAAGCAGTTTTTTTTTGTATTGGGCGTTATAGGAATAGGATTTTAGTTTGATTTAAAATTATGATTTAAATAGCAATCTTGATTTTCAGAACGTGATAGATAACACTATAATCTATCCACGATATCGACTGAAAAGTGAACGTTATGGCAGAACATAATATGATAACGAGAACCGTACCCACCCCAGGCTCCCCCTGGGGTGGGTACAGGGTACGCGAAGACTCCTCCTGGGGTGGGTACAGGGTACACGAAGACTCCCCCTGGGGTGGGTACAGGGTACACGAAGACTCCTCCTGGGGGTGGGTACAGGGTACACGAAGACTCCCCCTGGGGGTGGGTACAGGGTACACGAAGACTCCCCCTGGGGGTGGGTACAGGGTACACGAAGACTCCTCCTGGGGGTGGGTACAGGGTACACGAAGACTCCCCCTGGGGTGGGTACAGGGTTATCTTGAGGTTATCTTGAGATGATTTCGGGGCTTTCTTTTTTTTTAGTGTCCCCGCGGCCCGGTCCTCGACCAGGCCTCCACCCCCAGGAAGCAGCCCGTGACAGCTGACTAACTCCCAGGTACCTATTTACTGCTAGGTAACAGGGGCATTCAGGGTGAAAGAAACTTTGCCCATTTGTTTCTGCCTCGTGCGGGAATCGAACCCGCGCCACAGAATTACGAGTCCTGCGCGCTATCCACCAGGCTACGAGGCCCCTGGGGTGGGTACAGGGTACACGAAGACTCCTCCTGGGGGTGGGTACAGGGGGCACACGAAGACTCCTTCTGGGGGTGGGTACAGGGTACACGAAGACTCCCCCTGGGGGTGGGTACAGGGTACACCAAGACTCCTCCTGGGGTGGGTACAGGGGGCACACGAAGACTCCTTCTGGGGGTGGGTATAGGGTACACGAAGACTCCTCCTGGGGGTGGGTACAGGGTACACCAAGACTCCTCCTGGGGTGGGTACAGGGGGCACACGAAGACTCCTTCTGGGGGTGGGTACAGGGTACACGAAGACTCCCCCTGGGGGTGGGTACAGGGTACACGAAGACTCCCCCTGGGGTGGGTACAGGGTACACCAAGACTCCCCCTGGGGGTGGGTACAGGGTACACGAAGACTCCTCCTGGGGGTGGGTACAGGGTACACGAAGACTCCTCCTGGGGGTGGGTACAGGGTACACCAAGACTCCTCCTGGGGGTGGGTACAGGGTACACCAAGACTCCTCCTGGGGGTGGGTACAGGGTACACCAAGACTCCTCCTGGGGGTGGGTACAGGGTACACCAAGACTCCTCCTGGGGGTGGGTACAGGGTACACCAAGACTCCTCCTGGGGTGGGTACAGGGGGCACACGAAGACTCCTTCTGGGGGTGGGTATAGGGTACACGAAGACTCCTCCTGGGGGTGGGTACAGGGTACACGAAGACTCCCTCACCTGTACAAAGATGGCCTGGATAAAACGGAGACTCAGGAACACAATTAGTCTCCGGACAAAGTGGAGTGCCAGCCCCAGACTGCCCACAGTAGCCACGCTAATCATCAACAGGTTCCTTCGCCCGAACCTGCAAAGCAACGAGCTCGTTAACCAGGCCAAACAACGAGCCTTCTCGTTATTAAGACACATATAAATCATGCTATTTCCTATCTTTCGAGGATAAGAAATCTTATAAGTTTATTGAGGTCCTTCGAAGGATAACTAATTATCTTCTCAGGACGCAATGCTGAGCAATTGCCTAATAACTTTTGGTGAACAAATGCATCAGGTGAAAGGAAACGTGCCTACGGGAATCGAACCCGGGATTTGTTTTTTTTTTAACTGTGAGCTTTGGAATGATCTTGATTGATTGAGAATAACTATAAATGTGAACTGAAGAATTTTATATATATTTCAAATTGCAAAGTGTAATTCACTCACAAATTTGTCAACAAAATTGCCCATTTTGAACAATAGGTGCATTAGATTGAACTTGAGCCTCTTGCAAGAGAAGCTCACACGAATGTTGAACTAATATGAGGAAGTGATTGCATTCTACGTCCTCTCTCTCCAAATGGTGAACTTTGAACACATAAATTATTATCTGCAGTCTTTGAACTTTTGTCTCAAGTGTCTTTTTAATTTGTAAAGATAGCGTAAGAAGGGAACACACACACTCACACTCCTCTCTGTCTCTCCCTCTGTCTGTCTCTCTCTCTCTCTCTCTCTCTCTCTCTCTCTCTCTCTCTCTCTCTCTCTCTCTCTCTCTCTCTCTCTCTCTCTCTCTCTCTCTCTCTCTCACTAAATGAATTCCACTCTACCTCATAACTTCTGGGAGATATCGTGTTAATAGTTTCGTGATTTGTCTTGTACTGTTTATGTAACTTTGGTTCTAAAGTCTCCAGTTTCCCCAACCTGGCCCCAAATCCCCTGTTGTCTTACCTGATATGCAAGACCCTCATTCTCTTACTTAAAACATTCACATTCTTTGCATTTCATTTGGTCCGTATCCTGTAAACTTGAATTTCTCATCTACTAGGTGGCTAAGTACAGGCAATAAATAACTAGGTATATTCACAATACCAAAGTATACTCCTAACACCGAGGTATGCTCACAATACCAAGGTATACTCCCAGTACTAAGGTATGCTAGTCAACACTAAAACTTTTTGCTAACCAAAAGGTTACATACTTAATAGCACTAATTAATGTTAAAGGCTATCATACACTCTTTTAAGTTTACGTTAGAGTACTTATCGATACTTTAGAGTACTTAACCCACACTTCAAAGCACTTACACTTCAAAAATACACTGATTAACGCTAAAAAAAGTACACCATAAAATTAAATATTATGTAAATTAACTCCAAATCATATTAAGATGTAAATGAACTTATGCCTTTGTAAAAAGAGACATTAAGAAGCTCACAATAGCTCACCTATCAGCGAGGAATCCGAAGATCAGTCCACCAATCACAAGGCCGATGAGGTATGACGTCACAACCCAATGTTTAATCCATATCCGTTCGCATACAAGCCCCCACTGTCGTATATATGGAAAATTTTATATAAAATTAGTTGTGATATATGATCGAAAATATATGAATATTAATAATTTTTCACTGAACACAAATATTGATTGGTTATCTTATTTCTTAATTGGTGATTAAATCTAAGACAATTACAATTATTTTGTGTGATTTATTGGGGAATACAGAAAATTCTTTCAGGATTTTATTCCCCAAAAATTATTTATTTTCACGGATTACATATATTTTTAGTTTCAGTATTCCAGTTAAATGCGAGAGCTTTCCGCAGCTCTATGTCAGTCAGACTCACTTAGCTTGTTTGTGTTGGCTCACAGCACATGATAAATGTGGTTACTAGAGTTTAACCCCAGCAGGTGCAAAGTAATGAACCTGGATGTATGGAGACCAGTAGCCAGAACGTACGGTATCAAATGGAAGTCAAACACTCACTTTCAATTATTGACTTTTATTGACTTATTTTAACTTTATTGACTCACTTTCTTCTGTTGAATCACTTTCTATTACTGACTGAAGTTCTCTTATCTTTCCTCAACTTTCCCAGTAATCTCTACTTCCTTCCAGTAATCTCTACTTCCTTTTGTTCTCTCCTTTTGCTTCAAACTTTCTCTCTCTCTCTCGTATTTGCAATTTTTTTTTACATCAAGCAAGTTTCCATTTTTTCCTCGCTAGGGAGGCTGGAAAAATGTATCACCCGAGTTCGAAACCATTCCGTAGTTTTCTTTTTGCCCCGAGGATGGTAAATCCTGCTAAATGAAAAACGTTTCCTGAGCAGAAAACGTTCCCAGCATTCCGCGTATCCCATCAACGTTCCGGGAAATTGAAAACGAGACTTTTATGTGTTGGATTATAATTATAAACAAGTTTCCCCTCACACGCTTTTTTTCACGCTTAGTATTCGATAAAAGTCTTGTTAAAAGAAATCAAGCCGGGTTAAAAAGAGCCTTTTCCTGTCTTTTGTTTATTTTTGTGTATAACGATCATAGTTTATTAAAATATATATATATATATATAATATATATATATATTAATATATATATATATATATATATATATATATATATATATATATATATATATATATATATATATGCAGAATAACCACATATGAAAAATAGAAAATGCTTAACGCGTTTTCGGCTAATTCGCCTTCATCAGAGCAAAGTAGAATGCCGGATTCTACTTTGCTCTGATGAAGGCGAATTAGCCGAAAACGCGTTAAGCATTTTCTATTTTTCATATGTGGTTATTCTGCATACTTGGATCAGTGTTTTTGTGATCATTGTTGCATATATATATATATATATATATATATATATATATATATATATATATATATATATATATATATATATATATATATATATTTTATCTTGGATAAAGTGATAGTTTGTCGAGAAAGTGGAGAGCCAGATTGAGTTAATCGCAATTCATGAAAACTGGAGATTGTTGTACTATCTACCGGTTTGTCTTTTATGTAAACACATTCTCTCTCTCTCTCTCTCTCTCTCTCTCTCTCTCTCTCTCTCTCTCTCTCTCTCTCTCTCTCTCTCTCTCTCTAATAGTGTTTCTAGTGTAGGCTTGATGAGAAGATCAGCGCCAGATGGCTAGTCAACAGGCGACCACAGATTGAAAGGTCAAATGAGCTTCAGGTAAAAATTGGTAATTGGCATTCAGTCTGCGAGCATTAACTATTTTAAGTGAGCTGACCGATAAGGTAATGGAGCCAAATGTAGTTCGCTGTTTCGAGACAAGATAAGACAAAATCATTTTAAAATTTCGGGAAAAATGTTTTACCACATTTGCGATTGTTCCTAGATAAGTTAGGACCAGAGGACACGGGTGGAAGCTGGAGACACAGATGAGGCAGGACCAGAGGACACGGGTGGAAGCTGGAGACACAGATAAGTTAGGACCAGAGGACACGGGTGGAAGCTGGAGACACAGATAAGTTAGGACCAGAGGACACGGGTGGAAGCTGGAGAGACAGATAAGTTAGGACCAGAGGACACGGGTGGAAGCTGGAGAGACAGATGAGGCAGGACCAGAGGACACGGGTGGAAGCTGGAGACACAGATGAGGCAGGAACAGAGGACACGGGTGAAAGCTGGAGACACAGATGAGGCAGGAACAGAGGACACGGGTGGAAGCTATAGACTCACAACAAAGAATATTGGCATTTCTTTCACTATGTATCACTTGTTTGATTACCAAATGATACTTATTTGACAAATTTGATTCTCGTTTAATAACTATATGATACATGTTTAATTCCTGTTTGATAAATACATGATTCTTATTTGATTAATCTTTGATTAACATCAAACCATATTTCATTATCAACAATGCCGATATTTTACTCACCTCTAACTCTTAATTATATCAGATTCACTTAATGAGTGTATCACCGGTAAACACACATCAATACCCGTGATTACAGAGCCTGTCTCAAGGACGCCCAGATAACGACTATTCGATACACATAAACACACACACAAAGGCACAAAACATTATGAACTTAAAGTCATTAGTGCTAAGGGCGTGTAACTTGAAGAATCTTAAGTTGGAGCCCTGAAGGAAGCGAGTCTGAAACCCTTAGACTTTCAAGATGGTACTGTTGCTTGTGTGCATCGGCAAGAACCGGTTTTGTTTTGCTTGGAGACATACGTGTGTGTTAATGAGGACTTCAAGAAGGTACATGAGGTTAGAACAATGATATATCGAAGATTTATTTCGTACTGGATTCTCATTTACATTTCAGAGACTTAGAACATACCGGGTTATCACTTACGATATCAGAGAATTAGATATGATGGGTTATCATGATATCAGAGGACTAAATATAATGGGTTATCACTTACGATATCAGAGAACTAAATATAATGGGTTATCACGATATCAGAGGACTAAATATAATGGGTTATCACGATATCAGAGAACTAAATATAATGGGTTATCACTTACGATATCAGAGAACTAAATATAATGGGTTATCACGATATCAGAGGACTAAATATAATGGGTTATCACGATATCAGAGAACTAAATATAATGGGTTATCACTTACGATATCAGAGAACTAAATATAATGGGTTATCACGATATCAGAGAACTAAATATAATGGGTTATCACGATATCAGAGAATTAAATATAATGGGTTATCACGATATCAGAGAACTAAATATAATGGGTTATCACGATATCAGAGAACTAAATATAATGGGTTATCACGATATCAGAGAACTAAATATAATGGGTTATCACTTACGATATCAGAGAACTAAATATAATGGGTTATCTCGACATCAGAGAACTAAATATAATGGGTTATCACGATATCAGAGAACTAAATGTAATGGTTATCACTTACGATATCAGAGAACTAAATATAATGTTATCAATTACATTTTAGAGATTTAGAATGAAATGGGCTTCAATTTCTTGAAGTTTCATTATTACTGCCATCATTTACAATGACATGATGAAGTTTCGCATTGTATTTCGCGTAAAAATGTAATTTTTGCTCGAATTTTGAATACTGCCTCTCAAAAAATTAACTCAAAGCCCGCCGCCATACAAAAAAATAAA